TTATTGAAGTACTTTCGATATTGCATCATGAATTTTTTTCTGCATTCCCATATGCGATGAATTTGTCTACAGCATCGATCGTTACATATTTAATGGTTATCTCTCTTTCCCTCCCCCTCTCTCCCTCTCTCGACGTATGTGTATTTTGAAAATCGCCAAACATTCATCGGTCTTTAAAGTCCTTTGCGTTTTATATTTGTGCTTATTCTCCAGTTCTTCTATCGTTCATTCCCATTCCAATCGACTCATACACATTTGCTGTCACTTTTGCTCTCTGCATGTGAATTCAATTAAAATTTATGACGTTGTTATTGTTATAAATGTTGATGCGAACCAATGTAAAAGTTGAATTGAACGCTGGCAATGTTGTGGCCATGGTAAAAACAGTATATGCATCAGTTCTTCATACATTCATATTATTGAGATTGTATGTCAATGTCAAAAATACAATAAAAGTAAATTCAATAGTTTGGATGGATGAGATGCTGTTTTGAAAAAAATGAGTCATGATACAGCTTATTTTTATTATTGCATTTATGACACATATACACCAAACTCACGCAAATAAATGTAAAAATCCCGTTAAATTGACACATATGATCAATACACATTCTCGTTGTTTCAGGACGATGAGAGCATATTTTAAATTTGGTGCTTTTTCGTGTTTGTCGTTATATTTGGCGCGCGTTTCACTTGTTGCTGCGATTTGCTGCAGATGTTTGACAAATGACGAATATACAAGGAGAAATTCAGATATTATATGTAAATTCCAGCAGTTTTATAAAATGGTATGCGAGCTGTCGCACATCAGCTTAAAGGTAAGCTCATACCCACACCAAATCATATTCTGGTATTATTTTTAGAAACAAGTTTTTCATCTACACTCATTTCATAACAGCCGCGTCATCTGTTTATGCTGAAATTTATTTATTTTTTTTGCGCGAAAAAAATGAGGATATGATTTTCCATTCCGCAACTTATGGCATAATGAATGGTAGAAAACAAAAAAAATATATACATATATAGATATAGACATTTGACCCAAGTCTGTGAAAGATTTTTTTTCGCTTCAGAAGAACAACGTATTCCACATCTTTGTTTCACATTTGAAGCTAAATTTATCTACTACGCAGCTGAAGCGAGTATCTGTATTTTATCAACAGTATTATTATAGCAATAATGAAAGATAACGGTTGTGATATGCTGCGTAGATTGATAGAGCTCTTATAAATGTAATCGCAATAGAAAATCTTAAAATTGCATTGTGTTACTGTTTAACGATTCATTCGGGATGTGGTTTAAACTGAGACACACACAATAAACGAATACACATCAACATTAAGGCCGTGTCGATGCTGTCATCCGTTAAAAACTATTTAAAGGAGAAAGAAAACGAGAAAGTGTGGTGTGTTGTACAATTTTGCAATCTCATATTTTCTGCACGTTTCGCCATATTTTACATTTAGCAAATGTGTTTTCCTCATCAAAGTCGTTAGCTCAGTTCTCTTTTTTTCGTATTGTGTCTCTTTTCTCTCTTTCAATCTTTATCTCTTTTTCTTTCTCTTTCTTCATCTCTTTCGTTTTTCCTATATAATTTAAAAGTGGAGCAATTACTGCTGCTTAACAACTTATTGGTGATATACTGACGGAGCACTTTTAGCTCTCATGTTGTTTTCCACAATTTTCAAGACGTGGCTTAGCATCAATTGCAATTAAATAGGATAACACCAGGAAGGGAAAAAACAATTCTCGACATTAATGTAGGCCAATTTAAAAGTTTTCATCAAGTAGAAAAAGTTCCTCAGCGTTAGCGTTAACATAATTATGTTTTCGGAAAAATTACGGAACTTGTTATTTTCTACCTTTCGTAATAATCATAGTATCTAAATGGCTTCCACGGAAAATTAGAACAAATCATAATGTCCTTTCGCTATGATTTCATTATTGCTTCAATTAACAACATGAAACCGCACATATTCATTGTTGTTCGCTTTTTTTTGTTGTTCAAACAATAATTAAAAAAAAAGAGTACCAAGAACGACGAGACTTTAATTTTCGAAGAATATCAAATAGCAGCACTTCAGCACTCTTCAGACCTGTATTTTTTTTCCCCGACTTGACCATTACGCTGTGCTTCGGAATTGTGACTCGATGAAATGTTATGAAACCACCGCTACGGTTGTGAGGCCATTGTGCAATCATGTTGCACCTCTTTAATTAAACATCCACATTGTACTCTGTATAGGTAGCCTTTGAACACATAAAAGTAGAGGGAGAAACGTATTTAAACAGACTTTGGTATACGTTTTTTTTAACCATTTTTCTTTTCTTTTGGTTTCGGTGCCACGTAAAGCACGTTAAAAAAAGCTCTTTAAACGCTCAAAGTGATCATTAAAACGATTAGCAATTGTGTGCATTGCCTGCTGTTCATTGAATGTTTTATGTAATATTAAACCATTACTATAATCAAAATATGAATTACTTTAGAACACCTGGAGTTGCATGATTATTTTAAATATGCATCGTTTAAACTGCATTTACTTTCGTCGAGATAACGAGAAAAAGAAAAGAAAACGTGGAGCAAAGAATTGTCGGCACTTTTGGTCGACTTTTAAAAGCAACACATTTTTTATACTGTATCGACATTATTCTAATTCCAACAAAATTGTATAAAAATCTATTTAAATTTTCAGAGGATATTTACATTATGTATCAGATCAATCGTTGTTATTTAAATGATTTTTATTATACGTAAACACTAAACGGACCTGTTAAAATGCTTGCTGAAAAACATTTAAATCACGAAACGATAACCAAAATGTGCTGTAGCAGGTATGTAAACAATGTGATATTGAAATTTAATTAAATGCCAAATTTCGACTGTCACATCTACCAGTGGGTAGAAAACAATTGAACAGTGTTTTTATTTTGTTACATATTTTTGTCCGTTTATAGTCCGTCCGTCCTGAATTTTGCAGCGTTTTTATTTTTCATTTCTTAACAAACGTAAGTCTGATTTAAGTCTCTCATGGTTACACCAATTAGTAACATTTGAATTTTCTTTTGTTGTTTTTTCCCTTTAGAAATATTCAGTTATCCACTTACAAGTCTACGAATTGATTGGTTCCGTTGGAAATTATAATCGATTAAGAATGACCGGAAGATTTGAATAGTATCGTGATTGTGGAATTATTCATGTCGGTAAACGTAAATTGGTCTATCGTCATCACATGTGTCTGCGCATATATGATATTGTCATACAAGAACTTTATGTAATTTTGACTTTTACGTTGAAATATTTTGAACCGTCAAGTCATTTGCAACCATTTATTGTTATTTCCAAATATGAAATTGGATGGGTTTCCAACCAATTTTCAGATATTACCCAAAAGCAAGGTTAAATCATTTATGCTTACTTGAAATCGTTCATGTTTTTTTCTATCGAAATGTTGTCATTAAGGTAGAGAAATCAGTGTCTAAAACAGAAAATGTTCGCCCTATAAGAACACTTTAAATAATCATGTAAGTGTGTGCGAGTGTTGAACAAGTGCGGCGTTAATGCTTAACTTATCTCTTATCAACAATATTTCTTTCTGTGTTTCACCTAGATTTGCGATTGAATGAACAATGGATCTATGGAAAAAAATTCGATCTTATTTTCCGTGCCCATTTTTGTACGATTTTTACGAATTTTAGTCACTTTCGCTTGAAAGCAGTCCAAATTGAAATCGTCGTGCGAAAACAATGGCAAAAGAATGCTATAAAAGCCAGCGAACTCATTATCGTTTCTTCCATCGTATTAAGCAGTCCCCGACTTCTTTCACATTCCCTTCCTAATTTACTCGTTATATTTTTTTATATAGAGACTTGAAATCTATTTTAGTATAAACATACTTTTGACTATTTCTCCGTGTGTTCTCTTGTTTTGGTTCAGTTTTTTTTGTTGGTAACCGTAAATCGATTAAAACACGCCAACAACTATCGCAACTTACACACAGCAATCATTAACCATTGGCAATTTTGGAAGAATGGTCCGACTGTGTTAGGGGTGCTTTCTTTTGTATTTACATATCACACCAGGAATCGTCATTGTAAGGGAAATGCGAACGTAAAAGCGAATGTTAGGAATTTTGTAAAAAAAGCATAAAAAGGACGGAAGAGCAAATACGTTGCCAAATATATATGACACGCACTCACATTCACCTATATATAGCACAATTTTAATATAAAAATGACCACACTTAACAAGCCATGACATTCCAAAGGCACATGCTGCTACTCTGTACATTTTATATACATGAATAATACAGTATGAAACGATTTAAGAGTCAATAATATGGAAATAAAACTATCAAAAAGGACGTGATTTTTTATTGGAACTACCACAACAAATCATGTACTATCCAAATTGTCGCAAAAAATCACTAAATACATATAATTTCTGGCATGTTTATTTGGAATTTGAAGGACTTTAGTGGTTTTTTCACTGGCCTCGTTGATTTTCATATGATATGAGGTGTAAACGAAATACGTCAAACAAAATTAATGATTTTTTTTCGATGGCTAAATATACGAAATGTATTTTCGGGGGTTGTTGTTTTTTGCCCATTTAAATGAGGGATTTTGCGTGTTTTGTCACATTTATTTCACATTTTTTTTCATTTTCTCCTTTTCTCTTTCGCACCGCATCAATCAGTGTGTTGAAAATGTGTTAGACTGTGTCATGCTATGCTCAGCTAAAGCGATTATTCACTCATTCATCCAAAGTATAATCAGCATGAACTAGTAAATCACAAGAATTCTATATGCATTAACTTTTGAAATGATACTCGATAAAAAGTAAAGAACGGAAATCAAAGCTAGAGCTAATGCATCCAATAAAAAAAAACTCAATATCGTCAATAGAGCATTATAGAGTGCAAAAGCAATTCGGGGTAAAATGAGCAAATGAAGTAAAATAAAATAAAATAAAAACACAAAATATAAATTGAACTACTTACCGTTTGGTGTAGCAACAAATCAGTTTTCTCATTTAATTTTTCCGTTAAGTCATCAACGGAATGAGCCACTTTCGTGAAGTTTGTATTGCAATCGATTGCAAAGTTGTTGCTTGCAATGAAATCGCATTCATCCACACCGCACGATGGCGGTTGAACTTTACCATTTGCACCATTCGATGAAAGCATACATTCGTTTGTATTTGCACTAAAACATGGATTACTCCAACGTTTTGAAGTGGCATTTATCCAATCGGCTGCATCTTCACCATCGATTCGAATTGATTGTTGATACACTGTACTATGACGTCGTTGTTGTTGATGATATTGATGTGTTGTTGCCGTATTTGACCGTTGACGCATTTTCACGCCCGGAAATTGTTCAACTCTCGCTCGATTAACGTCAATTTGGTTTGATGATTTAATTTTATTCATTAGATTTTCTTCATACGTGTTGAATTTATCGTAATCGATAAAACTTAAATCTTCATAACTAATCATCACATCAATTTGTTGTAGACTCATCAAAGATGCGCTCCATTTTGAATTTGTTGCCTTCCGACGGGACGGCGTCAAACTGAATGTACGCTTAAACGATGCAATCAATGATTTTTCCGATGTACGACTCGTCAGGCTGTCCATTGATGCGGTTTTTGATTTTTTATTGTCATATTTTCGCTTTGATTTCTCAATTGGAACACCATATGGATGATCCTCTTCTGACAATTGTTCCAATTTCGGTTTTCGCATACTGTTTCGGTAATCTTTTTTCAGTGATATGGCCGCCAAACTGACACTTCGTATAAATTTAAATGGTGTTTTTGTATCACGTTTATTTGACGAATTACCGTCATTATTATCTTTTATGCTTTCTTTGCTGGTTGTCAACGAATCGTAGATTTTTGACAATTTTCGAGTGAGAAAAAAACTGTTGGAGCGTTCAAGTTTTCTATCGCCAACATTCATAATTTGACTGGGATTTGCTAGATGATTCACATTATCGTTATGGATTTGCCCTTGAACTTTAATCGGCGTTGATTTGACACAACATTTACCATTCTCACTCGAATTCATTTTTGATTTGATTTTATCGTTACTTTCACATTTTGCACCTTTTGTTTTGGCCACTTTTGTTTTATTCGACGATGATGTTTGAGATTTTTTTTTACTTTTCGAAGCTACGGTCTGGGTTCGATGCATCTTTTATGTCATTTGATTTTCAACTAAATTTCAATTGCCATTTGCATAAAAAACCAACAACAACAACAATACAAACTAATTTGCACAACAAAAATGTTAATTACCTCATACGCACACACATACGTCATACGAAAAATAAAATCAAAATAAATTCCAAAAATTTTGTTCACGCAATTTATCTGTCTATCTATTGCTGATTTTCACTTTTTAACACGTAATTTTTTCTTTTCCCTTTTAATACAATAACTTTACGAGGAATCAAAGCAAAAATAAAACGAAATTAAATTTCTAAATAAAAAAAAATCTCACACTTCAATTCCAATTGAATGATAAAAGATGACTGAGAGTTTTATTTATTTTCATAAGAATTTTATCGTTATCAGACATTTGCGTTTCAAAAGATAACGGCTTGTTTGAATTATACAGTGACAAATGATACATTTGCAAAGGCCCGCATACAGTGTCATCACATATATAGCCAAAAGTGAAAATTGTTTTGGTTTCCATTGATACTTTAATCAATTTTAATTATTGTACCATGTGCATTCAAAAACACTAAATGTTTCTACTAATACGAATTTTTCATGGCAAAAAAAAAATATTATTTCAATATGAATGAGCTACTAATAATAATTATGGATACTGGATTTAATGAATGAAAATTGAGAAAATTCATTCGTTTGAATTGGCCCATTTTTTGAATGGTCGAATAATTTTATTCAAAGTTAACTCGTGATTTGGTTTGTTACTTCCTCAATTGAATTCCAATTTGCACGCTAATGATAATGAATTTTTGAATAATATAATGGCTTGTGATTTGTCAATGTTTCTGTATAAACTCGAAACTCAGTGTACTAAATGGCTGTTGTGAGGTTTTAAAAGCGTCTATTATGCGAATGCTTTTTCCCTAAAAATGTTGACCGTCTCCATTTGTGTCGGCACTTGATTTAAACGCTTCGAATGACCGGCAACAAGTATGTGAATGTGCTTTGACAAAACGTGTGCCACGAGTTCCACACATCGTCCAATACAAGCACATTCGAATGTATTGTGAACGTGAGAAGTTTGACAACATAAGCAGTGTGCTGTTGTTCACTCCAGTTCAACCAAAAAGACTCCGTTTCTTCGACGGTCGCATTCACTTTAGCAAAACAATTCTATCCAGTAGTTCGCGAACTGTTCTACTGTGTATATCGTGTGCCGGAAATTGTAACAGTTCTCTTCATATGATTAGTGTGGTTTGTTGTTATATTATCTGCGATTATTCAACGTGTTCAAAAAAAAATTGATTTGTACAGCATCGTGAAAAAATCGAACTACTTGCACACAACGAAAATAAATATTGTCTTGAACCTGTGTCTTTCGATAAATTTGCATTTATTATTTTCCATCAGCGTTAAAATCATTACTGTGTCAAATATATTAGATGCAATTTTCAACGACAAATACCGACATTACGTGTTTGAATAGAGCTTCAACGATACCGAAAAATATATCCATTCGGCCCAAGGACATAATTTCATAACAATTTCATTGCATAAGTAATGCACGAAAAGAATTTATTTTTCGATATCGATGAAGACAATTTCGTGTGCATTTTTAATTCTTTCGACCTATTTCTTTGGAAATTTTTCGTTTTCTTCATCATTTCAACAAATTTTAACTGTAATTTTTGTGCAACTATTAAATTTTGAAGCTAATTTCGAATTTGGTTTTTGACAAATAACGCGATTGTACACGTTCTTCTGTGTTATTGTGATTAAACTGACAAGTTTTTTTCCCATCCATTTCAAATGAAAACGGTCTTTTTTGGTTATTATCATCTTTTGTGGTGGACTTTGAAAGTTTGTAATCATTTGTGTGATGGTGTCAGCAAATTAATCTCTCATATTCAATTAACGTGCATATTTGTCAAAGTAATTATTGACGATGCACAATTTGTTTTTCTTTCTTGGTTGTATTGATTTGACCATTTATTTATATTTTTCTTAGCCATTTGCCAAAATCAGTAAATAAATTGTGTTTGTTTATATTTAACAGTTAATGATCTAAGCTGGTGAGACGAAAGAGCGTTTAAATAATAAGAAAAAGTATAATTAAAATCCAGAAAATAAAATAAAATAAACAAACGGGACGTAAGAAAAATCCTAACGAAAGACGAATAATAAAAAAATTCACGAAAGAATTTTTTTGTGTACACAAAATACAACAGGCACGCACTTTCATCCTGAACAACAAGTTATGATTCATCTTTAATTGTTGAAATTAAAATAAAGTGTTGCTTGAATCAAGAATTCAGTTCCTGGTGAAAAGAGACCGTACATAAAAGATCCTCTCGATATATCGAATAAAATCGAAGCCCAAAGACAACAACAACAGCCAAAATGAAGATGTTTGCAATTGTAAATGTCATGTTGCTCATGGTGTTGAGCGTCAGCTATACAGCTATGGCATCAACACTACTGGATAAAATAAAAGACGATCCAGATCTGTCACAGGTGAGTTTGGATTTTTAATAAACGATGATTTGATATGATCGCATTTTAAAATGTATTACACCAACATCATTTGAGAAACGAATGCATTTTGAATATGTTCAGGTCACATTCTTTCGATCAATTTCATCTGACTCATTTCATCATGTCATGAAGATGTGATTAATGCATTCAATATGTATCTCATCTTTAGAATAGAATTTGTACAAATAGACGAACATTTTTATACCCGAAAATTGTAAAAAAAACCAAGTTAAAATTTGATCACATTCTTAAAAATGATCACATGTGGAAAAAAGAACTACAAAATAACAGTTTGGAAAGATATGTGCCATACAAAAATTAAATGTGTGAGAATTTTACAGCAGACACACATTTTTGGCATGAATAACAGCATTTTTTTTATTAAAACAATTTGTGTCGCAATTCCAATACAGTAGTAACGCATTCGATTGAATAAGAAGCATATGAAGAAATAGACAAACAACATCTACGACGATAAATTTAGAGAGAATGAAAGAGAGAGAGAAGAGAGAGAGGGAGAGAGAACGAATGTAAGAAGAAAAGAGAGGAAAAATACCAAACGGTCAGACGCAAAGCATCAACACGCACTCACGAAGACATTGAGCGATACACACAAAATGATTCTGTCATGAGCGAACCATACTAAAATAAAAAGAAAATATTCACAAACTGTGCGTTCATTTTTATACATACAATAACGCTTAAGCGGTGCGGGATAGAAAGAGGCGCACAGCAAAAATAACAACAACAATAAAAACCAATTTCAAGTTCATTGCACTTGGAGAGTGAGAGCGCACACTATCAATTGTTTGACTTTATTCATATGTATTTGGGCATTTAATGTTCGATATGATGAGGATGATGCTGATTCGAATTATTATTTCATTCAATTTATTATCATTCTTTCGCGCATCAACATCAACAACGGCAAGTGATTCGCTGATGGCGAGAATTATTGGGTTTGATGGTTTTCAAAATAGAAATGGCGATGATACATACGTTGCCGGCCACAATGAAACACTTAATGCGGCAATGAGATGAAAAGACGATGAATTTTGTAGCAACTACTTACTATCCGAGTTAATCGCATTCGTTTAAGATGGTCTTCATCTCAAGCGTTTGCCATAAACAGATAAAATTTAATACGGAACTTTATTATTAATTGCTTTTCAGTGGTAAAACGCACAACGGCAACGAAGTCTGAACCTTTTTCAGTTTGAACTTTTTGATCTATTAAAAACTCAGCTAATCAAAAATTCATTGCTCCACTTGAAAATAAGGTGGTTTTCGTGTAAGTAATGTTTGCAGAGGAGAGAGAGAGAGAATGCCCTTATGGTGAAAGCAACAGACAAGAAATCGATAAATGTTAAAATGGTAGTTAAATTGGAACAGCAGTAATTATGCGGTTCACTTTACATCGTACATCAGATAAAATGCAAACGCACAATTGTGCATTTTCAACCAACTAAAAATGGATCCTATTTTGTCTATCAAAACACGAAACCATGCACACACACACACACACACACGCACACACAAATAAGAATTGAGTTTATGTGCATTTCTGTGTTCTGAGCAAAATATTTCACCGTTTTTGACAGCTGTTCTCGAATTGCGTGATCATTCATTTTTTCAATTTGTTGCAGCGAATTCACTGAATTGAATTTGGTTTCCTTAAAACCATTTTCTCTCACAATACAGCATTTGTTAGATGTGTAAAATGGCAAATGAAAATGCTTCTCGAGTGAGAACGAGACAGAGACCAAAAGACCGAAACGAGAAAAGAACTCGATAAACAAGCAATCAAATTCGAGAAACTGTTAACACATTTTTGCTTTCAATGGTATCACAGTATTGGCTAAGATGTTTATCGTTACGGACCAATATTAGTTGATTTTCAATGAACACCCGAATCGATTGATTGAAAGTCAGAATACAAAGCAACATGAAATGCACGAAGAAGGGAGAAAAAAAAACAGGAGACAGTGAAAAAAGAACGGCACCGAAAATCAAACAATGTGCCGAAAACAACTTTACATTCGTACCATAGATTTGTGTGCATACCACCGAATCGATATTTAACTATTTGAATGTTAATTTATGAATGTTTTTCGTGAGCTTAAACTCAAGCACGTAATATTAAATGCTATTTATTTATACCATTTATTTGACATGTACAGTGTACAGTGTACACACACACACACACCACTGTACACATATATATTCGTTCATATATAAATAAAATTTGGTTTAACTTGCAAACGAGCAAGTTTTAAAGTACAGGTGCACCACAGATAACAATGTTGCTTACAGTTTTTGTTTGATAGGGAGTTGGTTGCACGATCACAATACTTTGTGTGTATTGGATTTTAGTACTATTGCATATAAAGAGAGACACACGAGAAAAAAATGTATGATTCAGCAAATGAGAATGTTTTCAAAAAATACATTGAACTGCAAACACAATGTGAATAGTGTGTTTTTTGCCATAAAAATTCAAGTCAAAATATCACACAAATCAACAGTCAAATACAAAATATATTGTATTTGCTTGATAATCGTCGCACATACGTCACGACCACTCATCCGCAAAGAAACGAGCGCATATGTTTTTTTTTTCTCGTGCAACAACACTTCTTTTTTTTCGCCAGTACGAACTTTACTTTTAATTTTGTGGAATTGCACATATATATATATATATGGTATAGATATTTCTCTGTATCCTGTTTTTTTCCATTATTATTTCTTTCAATTTTCGTTCAAAACTGTGAAACGCAATTATTCAACAGTGAAACGGATCTCAAAACCACATTTTTTTTTTGCTCAAACAGTGCATATATAATAAATTAAACTATATTTCTAAATAATATGTAAATTCTTGAAACGAATTCGTATAAGTGATTTTTTTCGTCACTATCTTCATTTTACTGTTATTTATACCCATCCACTCGAAAACTGTACAGTACCATACATCATTTTGAGCGCTCTTGACTTTTTGATGGGACAAAGCAGTGTATAAATGGCAAATCTATCCACAATCTACCATATATCACTTCAGTGAAAATCTTTTGAAAACATCCTTATCTGACCATATTACATGATGTTTATAGCATCATCATTTGACCTTTTTTTTCGGATCTAATTTTAATACATAAATGTGTTTCTGCATTACGCTCCCCGACGTCTATTATTATACATGGGTGTTTTTTTGCCTCAGTCCTTATAAAAGCATTTTAGTGTAGAAAAAAAAAGATTAGGCACTGCGAGAATTCGTTTAACCAACGATCAATGCATTGTGCGCACATATAGTTTATCAAATACGTTTGTCAACAAATGGAAATATTTTTTTTTCTCTGTGGTCTGTCATAAGACACGATAATAAATCGGAAAAAAATTGCATTTATCCCGCTGGTCATACTTCATTTGCAACCACATACGATACACACATACACTCTTTGGCCGGTTGACGATTTTTTTCCCATTCGCATTTTTTGTAAATGAGTGTATATTTATTGTGAATACAAATTGTATGCCAGCCATTGGAGACTACAATTATTTAAAGACTAAACCATTTTTTGTTCAAAAATTACATAATTTTTTTTTTCCTTTCGTAACACAAGAAGCAAGAACACTTCTCGCTTCAGCTAATTTATTATCAAACGCAACTTTTTTTTCTGTGACTATTTTTCATGATCAAAAGCACTTTTTATGGCTATTTAAATAGCTTGCAGTGTAAAAAAAATACAATGTTAGAATAAATAACGACAAATTTTCACTCTCTATTTATATAAATGTTGAAAAACGTAATGTTATAGCATCAATGCACCCATAACATATTAATAACATTAATAGCATGATGAGACACTATATTTATTCATGCATAAATTATCTGTTGTTCTTGTTGTTGTTGTTTTTTTATCGAAATATTGCGAAAAAGAAATGCATCGATTAGGTGATTGAATTTATTGGAGAAATGGAAAAAGCAATAACAACAAACAGTTCAACGTAAACAATGCCAAGCAAACATATATGTATAGTGTAAAGGGAGTTTTGCAATTCATCCAAAACCAATTGAATTGAGTGATGTGCTCAAAACTATTTCCAATATATCGATCGTTTTGGTGTATAGATTCCTTGATTTCAACAGTGTTTTGTGCATTTTGCATAAACCTTGCAAAGTCTTTTATGTACGATTTGCAAATTTTCCCATGCGAACACATTACGAACAATTTGAATATGGAAATTCAATTACATTCATAACATTTCAATTCAGCGTTATTGCTGCCGAATGAAAAGAACTTCTTCATTTCGATTGCCGTATATAATATTGAGTGAATGTTTATTTAGAAACGATTGTATTGAAGAAAAAAAAACACAGGGAGTTGTTGAAATGAGTGAAAAACTTGGTCGCATAATACGATGGATGATTGGTAAACAAATAAAATGAAAATAAAGAGAAGGAAAGAGAGTGGGCAACATAAAAAATTCATTTTCTGAAAATTCAACATTTCAAGCAAATGCTCAGAGATGCTCCTAAAGTGAATGACGCTTTCTATGGATAAATAATAATCTTGCATCGATATTATTCACTTTCTCATCATCGGTAATGCCACTCAAATTAGTACATTTAACCTTTAATTCAATTCGTATAAGAGGTCCATACAACTGGTTTGCAAACACAGCGGTGTGTATCAGATATTTGATTGAGTTCAAGTATGTTTTGAAAAACATACTACAAACTTGATAGTCATTTCCGTACATGAACAGAAAAGATATTTTGGGTCCAGCGTTTTTTTTGCGCTAGTTTAGTTCTCGTTTGTCATATCGTCATCTTTTAAGCATTACTTTTCTTTCACTACCTCTCTTTTGATGTGTCTTTTACTCAAACAAACTGTAATCGTTAAGCAACCGACTTTTCATTTATGATTTTTACAATACATATACTTTTCTCTCAAATGTTCAAATAATAACAACAACAA